TCTCTCTACCGTGAGCGTGCTCTTCATCGCTGCTCTCCTCTTCGGAGTGTGGTAGGCTGTTGCCGTTGGTTACGGTCTTGGCTCTGCTCCTGGACAGGACCCCGGCCCCCGAGCGCTCCATCACTGAGGGCATGGCTGCAACAAACACACAGACCCCGCATGTAAAATATCGCACACGTACACACACACACACACACTTTCTGTCTCAAGTATGATTCAATCTCTCGTTAAACCATCACTTAAGTGTCGTTTCATTAGTGGGTTGGCAGCTGTTGGTTTTCACTAGAAACCCTATAAAAACCTAACTCGCTCTTGTAAAGTAGAACAGCACCGTATGCTGCTACCTTGGAAGCGATCCCGTTATGTTCCCTTGAGCTGGGATTGTTTTCCAAACACTGGTTTACTGTAAACTCACTCACACTCAACAGCTCCCAGCTATCTCTCCCTGACCCTCATGTCACTCAATAGCTACGACTTGGTTGAAACCAGTCGAGAGTGTGAGACTTCCTGTTTGATTTGCTCTGACAGATGTGTCGACGTGGTCGCTGGTCATTCAACACCACGAGTGAAAGGCTCCTGACTCATTTGCATTTGGTCTGAGATATCAGCCTAACACAGTCTGTCAAACGTCTTTTAAGACTTGGCGGATTTAGGCTCACATTCTGATCTTCTTGACCTCAAGAGCACCTCAACACACGATCAGACACGTCTTCTTTTTCATCACAGGACCCAAACTGATTAACTCAAGCCTGCCTTTATTACTCCAGTTAATTAGGAACATGCTTATCATGGAGGCACCACCCACAAACAGAACAGAGGGCTCCAGACTATTTGTTTAAGAAACACTAGAGCTAAGATACCAGAGCTCTTTTTTCCAGTTAGAATCTGTACACTTTGCTGTGTTGAGTTCTATGGAGTCGTTTCTATGTAAAGGTAACGGGATGTGTTTATAGTGTGGCACTCAAAACTGAGCTGACGGCCCGCCGTAACTAAGTGAATGCAGACTGACGAAGACTTTTTATTCAATCTGTGCGAATTGTTCGCTTATGGCCGAAATCCAATCCACTCGACCAAGGTCGGTGAAATGGCTGCGAGTCAGAATCAGAGGTATCGATCCGGCAGGTCTGCCAGGTGCATCGCTGTCATCCATTCATCATTCAAGACAGTTTTCAAGCTAAAATGTTCAATAATTCCTCGATTCAGCTTCTTAACGCCATAAAGGATTTGCTGCTTTTTTCCCCCGGACATTTTATAAACCAAATGATCAAACGATGAACTGAAAACACAATCGGCTGATTAAACAGTGATATCAGCACTCGGAAACACTATTGTGAGATATCATATCAGAGTATTGCTGACAAGAGATTAATCATTTACGTAGTTTTCTTTAAGCAAAAGATGCCAAAATAAATCTTCTCAAATGTGAATATTTGCTTTGACTTCTACGATCAGATGTTTGACTATTGGTTAAACAAAACAAGCTGTATAAATATGTTAACTTGGGCTGTATTAATGATCATTTTCTGACATTTTGTAACGGATTAATCCAGAAAAAGCTCCTGATCCTTAACACTCCTGTGTATGTGAAAAGACTAAAGAGTGAAGCTTGCTCTTGCCCTGGTCTGACCTCGTGTTCAGTCCACGCATAATCAATTTCGCTATGAAGATGTCCAAAATACGACGTCCTATTTTTAGCCTGACATCATTTCCAGTCGGCCAAATAAAAACTTGTGCATCACAAATCTCGAGCACACAAACCATTACAAACGCACGTCGGCCTCTTCGTCACAACAGCACAGCTGACAAGTGGCAGCATCTGAAAAACAACGTGGACACGAGAGCCCTCCAGCATGAAGGGGACTCTTATTTGAAGTGTCATCCACAGTCTCGCGGTGCTGTCTCATCGCGTGGCCGTGCCTCGTATTCTCTCTCTCTCTCTCTCTCTCTCTCTCTCTCTCTCTCTCTCTCTCT